CACACACCCACTGAGCTCCGACTCTGCCCAGACCGTCCCAGGATGCTCATACACTGGGCGTGACTCATCCATCGTCCAGATCATGTCCAGACCCTGACCCTGACGCTGACCCTGACCTTGACCCTGACCCCTGGCTCCCACTTGGCCACTAATCTCCTGCCTTGTTGCTCATCTGAGGGGATGAGAGGGCATGAGGATGGTCAGTCCAGGAAGCACAAAATACACCAAGGCGCAGCTGTGGTCTCTCTCCAAGGACACTGGCCTGCAGGGGTCCGTGGGAAGGGATTGGGCAGCAGCGTCTGGTGAGTGCCAGGCACCCAGTAACCCCCTCAGCGAGTGCCCGACTGACCCATGTGCTCTCATTGCAGACTGCTCCCCAGTGTCCACACCGGACGCCCCTCTCTCTCAGAAGATGCTGCCACACCGGAAAGGGTCAAAAGCCGAGCCCAGCCACAGGGACACTGGACCCAGCAGAGCGGCCTGACGCTCTCTCCCCTGCGCCCTCAGCAATAAAGAGCCATTCTCAGCACTCCTGCGGCAACTTGCGTCCTTCCTCTGGGGCTCAGGTGGGGCAGGTGGGAGGCAGAGACCAGGGTCTGGAGTGGAGGGGAGGTCTGAGGGTGTCATCCAGCGTTCTCCTTATGGGGACACTGAGTCCCAGACACAGCTAGAAATGGACTAGAATCTCACACCAGGTGTGGCAGGCACCGGCTCCATTCACCCGTTCATGGGGGGATTAGTGAGCCCCGACCCTGCGCCAGGGGGGCAGTATGAAGTTGGGAAGCTTAGTGAGCCCTAATGTGGGACAGTGGGGCAGTGGGAACTGGGGGCATTAGTGAGCCCCAACCATGGGCCAGAGTGTACATGGGAGTTGGGGGTGCTTACTGAGTCCCGACCTGGAGAAAAAGACATTGGGTAAGGAGCCAACTTCTGCAGGGCTCTCTTCTGCCAGAGATCCTCTTGCAAGACACACGGGTCCGATTAGATCAGCTGTGGCTATGCCCCAACCTGGTCTCCACTCTCCAAAGGACTTGGGGTACACTGGAGCAGAGTCTCTCAAAGAGCTCTGAGGTCTCTCATGGTCTCAGTGCCAGGCCCCAGCCATTCTCCACACCAGTTCCAATAGTTTGTGCACCCACCTGCAGGACCCGTCTGGTGCATTCAAGAGCCCAGGGGTGCTCTGAGGCCCACAGACCATCTCCTCCCCCCACCACATCCCCTCTGACAGCACCCAGAGCTATGAATTGCTGGCTCGGCCCCACTGAGGCTGACACAGCGTTGCATGTCCCAGCTAACAGCCCGTCATGGAGCTGCTAAGCATGAACCCCACCCGACTGGTCTGACTCTGAGCCCAGCCGAAGCCCAGGTTTCAGCATGCACTAGCTTTGACTGCTTCACAGTCCAGATCATCTATGACCCCTGACCTCTGACGCTTGGCTGCACCTTGGGATCAACAATCCCCCTTTTCTAGCAGAGGCCATTCCTGACCCCATTTAACATTTAACCCGAGGCTCCTGAAGGCAAGTGGCCCCTTGAGGTCCTACCATGACGTAGTGGCAGGCCCTGGAGAGAGCCCACAGCCATGGGCCCCTGGCTCCGGGAGGCAGTGATCAGCTCCTGGGGGCTTCAGTGGCCTCTGGGTGCTGACTGCCTCCCCAGGCAGGGGAGAGTGCTGAAGCCCTTCTCCCTCCCCCTGTGCATCTTCTGTTTCCCTGTTTTCTTGCTCCATGTGTGGCCTCTGCAAGGGTCTGAGCCACACAACAACAGCTGCCTCAGAGCCCGCAGGCGCCTCTCAGTCTCAGAAGCCGACTTCCCTGCCCAAATACGCATGCTGGCTTTGCCCATTTACCGAGCAGCCGTCCTGTCTTCTGGAAATCTCTGTGCGGGGTCAGGGTCAGGTTCACACAGGCCCAGAGGCCCTTGGATAGCTTCTCCAGGCACCTGTCAGTGCCCTGCACTGGTCCCTGCAGTGAGGACACTGTGTAGTGACCAGTGCCCCGGTTAGAGGACCCTGTTGACTGCAGGTGGGAGAGAGAGACAGAGCCGGATGCCCCAAGGTGTCTACATGCCCTCATCTCATACCAGGTGACACCCCTGGGCCCGCTCTGGGTGTTGCAACACCAGGTGGTAACAACCAACTCAAACAGCAGCACCCAGGGATAAACAGGATGTTCAACATCAGGACTCTCAGCCTTGGCAGCGGAAGCCTGAGCTCTGGGTGGGTGCTTCCTGGGGACTCAAAGCCCGGGTTCCTGAGAGACCTGGGCAGGCCGCATTCATGCTCTCAGCCTCACTTTCCTGGACATAATGTGGGTTTCAACCCTCAGCGGGCTGGGTGATGACTAAGCTGACAGCGCACCTGAAGCACAACCCAGAGACCAGCTGCCCTGCTGGGGTGGGCCCTGGGTGAACATTGACTCACTGCTGCCCCCTGGAGACCGAGACTGCAGCTGCCGACTTCAGGCTCCAGGGGGGCCCATATTCACCCCAGGGAGAGGTCTGAGCAAGTCATCAACTGCTCTGAACCTCAGCCCCATTGACAGAGCGACAGTCACACCCTGCAGGACTGCACAGTGGGAGAGCACCAGGGACAGCCCCGCAGTCCCAATTACTTGAAACCCCCCTCCCCCCCCGAAAAAACCTGTCCTGGCTGTGCCTGCAGGACCCGGGCCCGCAGCAGTGAGCTGTGCTGTGAGCTGTGGCTCTGATGGGCTTCTCCAGGCTGAGCTGAGACCTGGGGCTGTGGGGGAGCTACAGCTCACAGCACTCGAAGGAGACAGCAGGCGGGATGCTGGGCGGCCTCCCCGTTTCTGGTCCGTCTCCCCGCAGAGCACACAGACTGTCTGGGCTCAGGAGTCCCCGACTCAAGCTATGGAGGGGGGACCCGAGCATCCACAGCTTGTGTGAATTTCCAGTGACTATTGAATCCTGTCTTTCTCACCTCATTGTCCCAGCAGAAAATTCTAACCACACTCAAAGATAAACAATGAAAAGATGATTCCCAGTACCCGATAACCTGGTTGAGCACCTCCAATGCCCCGCGGCCCCCAGACTTCAGCCTGCAGTGAACGGATGGGCCCTGGCCCTCTGCTGAGGCCGGTGCCGTTCCCAGCGTGGGGTGCCTGGAGGCCTTCAGGAGCAGCAGGTCAAAGTGAGTCCCACATGTGCGTCAGGGCCTGTGGACTTGAGTGGCAGGAATTCAGCCACAGTGTTGGGGCTGCACAGAGGGAGCAGGAGATGGGAGCGGAGAAAGAGAGAGTGAATGGCCGCTGACCAGGGGGACGATGCCCAGGCAGACAGTAGATCAATTCTCACCTCTGGCACTGGCCTCCAGTGGGCCTCTCAGGCACCTGTTCAAACCCCTGCAAACACCATATCGCCCTGTGGGCTGTGAGTCCCGTCACTCAGATTTGGCAGTGGGGGCTCAGGCATTGCGAGAGGGTTTTTTTGGTTTTTTGTTGTTGTTGTTGTTTTTTGTCCCTGTAGGCAGGGAAATGCTGTTTTATTACCGAGTCGGCTCATGCTGCCTTGTCCGTGTGTGTGTGTTTGACTCCATTCCCCACCTGGGGACAACCTCGGTCCAACCTTTACAGACGAGAACGTGCAGCTCACATCACCCCGTGCTCGGCTGTGAGATGTGGCCACACCAGCGGGAGAAGCCGGCTCCGTCCTGGGTGTGCATCCTGCTGGGGCCCCTCTGTGCTTCCGGAGGCCAGGGCTGGCATGGAAGGGCCTGGAAAGAGGGGAGGTGAGAGATGGAGCCAGACAGGAAACCTGAGGGGACCATATCCCCTGAGGCTCTGGGCTCAGTAGAAAGAAAATCAGAGGATATGGATCGTAAAAATGACACCAATGCCAGGAACGGTTGAGTGAGGAAGTACAGAATCTCTGTCCTGACACACCAAACACTCAGGACGTGAGTCCTCTGGTTTCTGAGCATCCCAG